ATTACATGACGCGGACACCAACATAACTAGCCAGGAAATGAGAATTCCTATCGATTCAGAAAACATACCAAAATTTCATTGAAAATTATTGACAAAAAAAGCTTACCGAGCGAAATTTAACCAACATGTCGGATAAGTGATATTAGTTATGGACCATACTGCTGCTTTATTCGTTTATGATGTATGGAAGGGGACAACAAGGGCTCATGATAAGTGTGTGCTTTTAACAGTACTGACTGTTAACCAGGTGAATACTATGGGCACACTGGTAGAACAATGCGAACGACTGCGGTAGTACATTAAAGTCGACTATACGCGGAAAATTGACGAAATATAGTGAATGCCTACGTAGTATTCTTCTCAGTCGTCTCCTAAGACCTAACTTTAACTGATGACCAACCATAACCAATTCCGTGTTTGATTCGTATATTTGGAAGAGCCAAGTGAAGGATCTAACTTGCAAAGTCGTCACTTGATTTTGACGACTTAATTTTCAAACCCGAGAAACCCCAAGTGTAACGCCTTTTTACCAATTCTATTACTGGTGTGTCGGTGGCACAGTGGTTAGAACTCTCGTCGGCCAATCATATGACCTGGGGTTCTATCCAATTCCGACGTACACCTGATATCTATGTTCGGCCTGCAAAACTTGGGCTGCCAATATCACATGTTGAAAATTCCATACTTCTACAAAACATACGGCGTGGAATCAAGCTATAATCAAAATAAATAAATAATAAAAAATAGTGAATAATGGATACTGGAACCAGTCGGACGCGCGTTATGTGGTTTGGACGCTTCTGAGCGGGATAGACTTGCATCAACCTAATTTCTAGGTGAGTTTGGCAATATTTGCCTATTTCACAGGCTTTTAATATACATAAGTTCATTTCGTTAATGGATTTCGAGCAAAATTGTGACAGTTTGTCTAAAGCTTTCTTACATCTGTTATTACAAAGAAATCAAATTGGTTTATACTAGCTCGTAAAAACGATATTGGATACTATCTATATCCTTTTGACGACGATACCGGAGGACTAACTGGTGGAAGGATCAACTCCATTCACAGTAGTAACAAAGTCTTAACATATCGCATACTACGAACAATATGTAATTAGTCCCAGCACTACTCCTTTTGGAGTCTACCAAAGCTACGACAGTCGAGTGGCGGGACGAACTACGCAGACGTTTACTGAAGAACATGATCCTTTACTTCACAATCAAGAAGCGAGCACAAAGAGGTTCAACTGGTTTATACTAGTTCGTAAAAGCGATATTGGATGCCAAAGACCTGAAACCAAGTTATACTTAAGCATTTTATTCCTAGGTTATTGAAATCACGTTTATCTGATGCAGTAAGATGCACTGTTGTGCATATTTTTAGTGTATACATAATTAGTATGTTTGGAATCTAATTTCCAACTCCAAGGATTTTAACTTATATCTGTAGAAGTGCGTCATATTTTTTCAAAAACTTTCTATGTTACTTGTTTTGCCACTATGTGGGCAGTATTCTATGTTACCTACCCCCACTGTTCCGCAGCAGAATATCAACATGCGTTTTCATTCATATGCTCATATCTATTTGTTGCGCAACTAATGTTGAGTAAATCTAAATGCTTGGCGCTGCCTCACAAGATTTATTTATTTATTTAAACGCATAAAAAACTTGGTACAATATAGCACCAAGAAAGATGCGCCACACAAGATACATGTTTTTATTGTTCCTGTGCTAAATATTCTAGTTAATATGGGCCCAACGCTGGCCACTGGACTCAGTCATTCTAGGAAATACCTTACGGATAACGATGATTATTCCTTGTTCATATTTTGTCTGTTGGTGTTTTTCCTTGCACCGAAAGCGTAATTTCTAAAAATGTATGTCCGATACTTGTTGCTTTGTTCTGTCTATTGTCGGAAATTTTTACGTGTCATCTTATGTTGATGTCCGTAGTTTTAAAGCTTCTTTTGGATAGCACAATTTTAATATTTTACAAGCAGTCGACTAATTCATATTGGTTTCAGTGACTTTCGGATTGAATTGTAACCATGGATTCTTGTTGACTCAAAATATTCGGATTGTATAATCCTCCTTGGTAAAGGTGCTGTTAAATTGCAGTTTTCTAAACACCCTAGATATCAATTTTCGAATATTTGTCAAATGTAAGATAATCCAACAGGATTGAAATATACTGACTTTGAGCTAAGAGAAGAGAGTGAAGAGGTAGAGCGCGTTACACACTTTATCTATTCGGGAAACTGGACCAGCCACAAGAGACTAATTGGTGACGAAATCTCAGCACGGATACAAAAGACTGATGGGACATTTGCCATACTGCGTCACATCTGGCGTAGACGTGGTATCTGGATATTGATCAAGCGACCTGTTCACTACGGAGCAGTTCGCTCTGTCTTCCCTTATGGTTGTAAGACAGCCATTAAAAGTGACGGATATGAAGAGACTCGCTGTTTTTGACCAGAGGTGTCTGTGTTCTATCTCGCAAGTTAGTTGTTATAATATGGTAATATTAAGATTTAGCGTCGAGTGTTAGATGAGGAATTAAAGTTAATGGATAAGGTTGGGAAGCTACATTGGTTGAGATGGGTGAAGACAATTGGCAATGTGGTTAAAACTCATTCACTGGCTGAGATGATTTCACTATGTGATTTCCCATACCCATTAAACCCTAATGTGTCTCCAAGTTATTGTTCTTTCCCCCTTAAATTCCTGCTTATCATATTCGCCATTTTCTCTTTTTCTGTGTGCTTTATGGAGTGTGGCAACTTAGACTGATGCACTTCTGTGCAACTTACTTTACTTCGGCTGTCTCCTACGGGAGGATGAGCCGGCTTCATGAACATCTCGAATCATCGCTGCTCAGGCGGGGCGATCTGATGCAAGGTTTTGCGACAGGGTTATCCAATTCTTGTTCCACAGACGGAGTCCGTAGGCGGTTTGTAGCCCCAGGCACTCCATGTCAGCCTTGACTGTACCAACCCATGCTTTCAGCTGTCCACCCCTGCGACATCGCCAAAATGGAAATGGCGAGGGATTCAAAACTAATTTGACCAGATCGTCATCTGGTCGGCGCAGAACATGGCCAAACCACCGAAGGCGACGTTGTTGGACCAGTACTGGAATTTGGTTGATGTTGTAGAGAGTTCATGAAATTTCATGGGAATTAGGTACGAGTGATGTCCCCAGAATCGCTCGGCCTTTTGTTTGAGAGTGCATCTCTAGCCTTTACACAACCGTGACCTACAAGACAGTAGGAGTGGAGTAGGGAGTCCACTATCCATTGGCAGCCGGTGACCGGAGTCCGGTTCATACGCCTTTTTGAATGGGGCCAGACTTCCAGGGCATCCAATAAGCCCTTTGTCCATACGTCTCTCGGTGAGCTCCGGTGAGCTTCATACACCAGTCGTTGGAGGTTTGGAATCAGGGTTTAGCAATCTCCCCTAGACTGTCATCCAATGGACAGTCAGCCCGGTGAAGAGCGCCGGGCATCCGCCTTTGCCCTCTCACTTTGGTGAAAAACACCTCCGCCACGTGAAGGCAGTGAGTAGGACTTCCTCAGGAGAGGCTACGTAAGACGCCCGGTCATATGGGGGTATTTCAAGAGGTGTGCGGAGGGGTGGCCAACCCTCAGCGCAAGGCACCCACCCTCGACCATCCTGAGGCTTTGGAGGCAACTGATTAGATTTTTATTGACTTGGAATCCAAACTTTCTTTTCATGTGATTTAAATTTTATTGGCTGGTAACTTTGGTCTATATTAGTATGTTTGCTAATTACTTGAGTACCAGGCTTCTAGGAATTCCCTGGCATTTTCGGTGTTTCCTCTAATTAAAATTTCTACATTATCCCAATCAAATTGTTGTCCATAATTTTCCATATACATTCATACGAAAGAATATATATCATGTCTTTTTACAGCCAATTCGTGTTCTTGGATTACAATTCTAATGGGATGCCCACGTTGACCGATGTAATATTTATTGCAGTTCATACAATTTATTTTGTAAATGGTACTAATTTTATTTCCTTTTTCTGTTGGTTCTTTTGGTTTGCACAATATCGAATAAAGTGATTGTATTGGCTTGTGTGCTGTGTCTATTTGAAACGGTTTCAACATTCTAGCTGTTATTTTGGAGATATTTTCGAAATAATGGTAGTATGAACTTTCTTGTGGTCATTGATGTGGGCTTGTTGTTGGTGTTATAACTCGAGTTTCAGCACTTTTTGATGACATTGCGACCATATGCATTCTTCTTGAAGACGATTAGTAGGTATTTTTCCTCCATTCTTTTCAACAGTGAAGTGCTACAGTGTGTTTGGACTTTTTTAAACAATGTCTGCACACAGTTTAGTTTGTGGGTAATTGTGTTATTACTATTGAAGTTGAGTATTTGGTTTGTGTGCGTTGATTTTCTATATGCTTTTGTTTCTAAATTTCCTGTGTTAGTTCTCTTAATTCAGACATCTAAGAATGGGATTTTGTTGTCTAGTTCTTTTTCTCTTGTGAATTGAATGTCTTCAAATATGTTGTTTAATAATTTGTGATTATATTCCAAATAAATTCTTTTAATTATTACAAATGTATCATCAACTTAACGTGTCCAGATTTTTGGTTTAATTATAGATAGGGCTATTAATTCTAATCTGCAAAACACTGGCTATCAATCCTGTCTGTTTTTATCTTATAATTCCATTCGGTTGTATAATACGCTAAAGACCATAAATATTTTAGCAAACTTGGTTAGCCCGTAAACTAAGCATGTTTCATTTAGGTGGCCAAAATATTTAGAATGTCTAAGTGTATAGGATTTCACTAAATAGCCTGTCTCTCGGAGAAAATTCTAAGTGATATTGCATGTCTGTTGCCTTAATTTACATTATGCCTAAAGCTATTTCTACAATGTTTTTTGCCAACTTCCAGTAATTGTTTGGATTTATCCTTGGTCATTTGTCGTTGACGTGTGACATTTTGGTCCGTCCAGATGAACTGTAAGTTATACATGCATATATATATATATATATATATATATATATATATATATATATATATATACCCTGCTAATATTTTGGTTTTGAAGAGAGGGTGCACATGTTTAATTTATTAATTTACCAATGTAATAGACGCTTTATTGACCTGCAATTTGAGTATACTAAATGTGTTAGTGCTTCAACATGATCTCAGCGTTTGTGATTTTTCAAAACAACACGAACATCATTCTAGTTGAAAATGTCTTGTGAACGACGAATCTTTAGTGAAGATTGATTAAGTTCTAAGACACGAAATTATAAATTGACTTGTGCCAAATAAATTAGTAACCAATATCATTTAAGTATTTAAATATCTTCTAGTGTTAATATGTTATATATCTAAATTGCAGAAAGTGTGGAAATTTTGAATTAACTCCAATTAAGCCTTGTTAAATATTCGCCCTTTGTTTTACCAACACAAATAGTAAACCTGAAAATGCATTTGGCGATACAGATTATTTCTGGGTCTCAGCCTTCTCATTTACTTAGCCTTGTAGAATTTTACTGAATCAAGTATGACCTATAGCCTATTATAAAGGGAAATATGCAATGGGTTACACAGTTGCATTCTTGTCTCTAAGATTGTACACTGTATTTCTAAGAAGTTTGAATGGTAGTGTTTAAAGAAGCATAATAGCATTCTCCTGGTCTTATTGGTGATACAGAAACCACCATTTGATTTGACTTTGGGCTATGATTTGTGTGTACTCCAGTAAATTGCGTACTTCCAAACACTTAGGTCAAAGATTGTCCATTAAGATGCTACGCCAGCTGACATATATAAAATTCTTAGACACTCATTAAGTAATTTCAGCTGTGGCGACTGAATGAAAGTTGCCAGAAAACTCTTAAGCCTGGCGACAAAATATGGTTTGCATTTGTTGACTTCAAGGCTTGGCGAAAGCCAAGGTGTGACAAAGTTTCGTAATCCCTCAGTAACATGTTGAGACTTACAAGTGATGTATGGTCATTAGAAAATATCTTATTTCCTGTTCACTTCCTAGTCGTGCTCTCTTTTTTTTGCAATCTAGCTTTAGTAGTTTGTGCTGAGATATGAAAATATCTAAATAATTCGAGATCGATGGGCATTTATTGTCTCCGTAGTTATCACTATTTGTTTCAAAATTGGCCGTTACATTGAAACAGATTTATTTCAGTTGATGGCCTCAATTAAGGTTTTCATATTGTTTATAATATACTGTTGATTTTGTTATTACTCCAGCTAAGGACTAGAAGCATATTCTTACTATATGGGTAGTTTTGTGAAACATTATTCATTCCATCACAAGAAAGTTACAATTGGTTTTTGTCCCGATGGTATATTTTGCTGAAACATGAATGATAGACGCTCTAGCCTAGTTACATCTTTATCAGAACCTTTCGGCGTTTCCATATTGGAGCTTCCTTAAGTATATTAGAAGACTTCTTAGTTAACAGTTTGTTTTCTATGCCAATAGGATTGTTGATTGAATATTCAAATAAAGCACCTAAACTGTTTTCTTCTCGTAGCTGGTAAAATCCCTTACATCCTTTAAAATCACTTTTATGGTTGAAAGAAAAAGCTGACTTGTAACTAAGAACGAATACAGTGCAAACTTTTGGAAGCTGTTAGAGAGTTTTGTTGAAATCTGAGTCTCAGTTAAATCTGAGTTAAATAAAATTACAGAAACATCTTTCTACTGACGCAGGTATTTTAATTAAGTCATGAGATTCGACTTCATGAAATACTTAATTTTCAAACCAAATTATCAGTCAACTACGTGTAAACTTTTCCCAGCTGGGTTACTTTTAGCAGGGAATACCTAGATTATCTACCTCTTCTTGTATGTACCGATTCAACTGCGCTTGTGGAACGAGTTATATTGGCCGTTGCTCTAGGAACTGGATTTTTCGTACTCAGGAACACCTACCAGTGGGGCTAAATAAAGGTGTGGTAAAAACTATCAACCACGTGGTCCAAACCGGCCAAAAAGTTAGAATTGAAGTATCATTCTCTATGATCTACTGGGTACCAATTAAATTGCCAAAAGCATTCAGGTACCGAATACGCCAAACAGCAAAGGCTATTGTAATTCTCCTAAAACAACCGGTGCTCTATGTACAGAATAAACAGGTTCAACCATAATTACTACCCTGGCCTGCTGTGAAGTCTGCAAATTCATAAATACCTTATTACATCGGCCTTTTCTGATATGGTTCTCCATCTTGTCACTATACTTGCTTAACCAACCTTTTGTTTTCTTATTTAAACGTAGTTGTTAACTTACACGCTGACACACATACAACTCACGTAAAATGCTACCCCCTCTCCCAAAAAATGTTTTTTGTCTTCCCCAGTCCTTGACATGATCACCTATTCATCTGAAGTTTATAATCACTATGAACAGAATTTATTACTATACATTCGTTGTCATTCATAATCATTTACTTGGTAATATTGGCGTTCAGTTTAGTATTACAATTATACATATTACCACATACATCTATTTTGGACTATAATCTATTTGCAAATAACTTTTGGAGTTCTGATCTAAGTGATTCGATGTTACTCTTTAATAACCCCCTAATGTTGTCAATAAAAATCATTCTGTCATTATTATGGCTATATAACTGTGTAACCTGATGATGTGAAGTTATCTAAAAGAGTATTCTTTGTTCAATAATCAATCTTTTTAAATAGTGAAGTAATCTTATGGTGTCATTTACTCGGTTTTCAGGCATATAAAGGATCAAGCAAACAAATTAGACCTTATGTTTATTTTTTTTTTTACATAACACTATTATCCATGAAAATATTGAATACCCTGTCATTATCCAACCACACTTTTCATTCTGTTAATTTTATTTCATACCAACCAGCTTTCTCATATTTCATACTCTTTTCTCTTCCTCACTGCAGTGACATGGAATGTACAGCTATATCACGTTATTTATGTCTATCTCTTTTATTACATCGTTTCATGACAAATATCCCCAATTCACCATAACAAATGCATTGCTTCATAGAAGTGGACACTACTACATTAGCGTACAATGCTCATCTTTTCCTGTGCATCATGTTACAATGGTTGTAAAGTAAATTGATCATTGCTCAACCTCTTGCAGTGTTGCTGTTGACGCATGAATTGTAAATTCTCTTGCTTTCATTACAACCACCAGATACCCTATATTCGGAATTGCATAGCACATTCTTTAATAAGTTTTGTGTATATTTCACAATGCATTCTTTATGAAAACTCACCACTCTTCTTTTCACCTGATTTAGACCAACTTATCTCCAAAAATTTAAGTGTTACTATCTTAAATTCAGTATGTTATTTCAAGGGCAATATAGGGGTGCCGTGAACCCTAAGAATTCTCAACTATTGAACAACGATTCTGGGCTAGAAACAAAACGATTATATTGGTCAAATTTTAATTTGAGCATTAAGACCGTTAACTGGACGATAACTACTGGTATAAGTCTATGAGACGCACAAAACTCATTCATCCATCTGTAACACAAAGTAAAATATGTAGTTTAGGATACTGTATTGTTGAGAAAGAAGAGTCTCGATTTTCATGGGTGCTTTGATCACACAGCAATTCTTGAAAAGTCAGGTGATATTGAAATGTAACTGGTTATTACAAGTTCATTGTTTGAACAATCGTCAAAGTAGGTTTTGAAAAAGTTTAGAAATTAATTGCGTTTTTGTAGGCACACCTTCGGTTAAACAGTTGGTTTGTTTCACAGAAGTGTAAAGTACTTTCACAAGACTGACTGAAGCCCGTGCCCACATTCACCCTAGCGGGTGAAAACTTAGAGGTAATCGAAAATTTATTGTTTCTTGCCAGTTGTGCACCTGCTAGTGGGAGGTATACCGGTTGAAATTGCCAGTCACATATTGAAGACAAGAGAGGCATATACCGATTTAGATTATCTCTGGCTTTCAAAGGTTGAGTTTACAACGCTTCGACGCACATAGTTTCGCTTCAAGTCTGTAAGATCAAGTCTTTCTAAACTTAGAATCTGAGTCGACTCTGCTTGATCATCTCATTTTTGTAGGATTGTTTGCACCCCGTGTAAATAATTGTAAGGTGTATATGTGGACAGCGTAGGACTAATTTTTCAATAAGTGATGCCACCGTAAAACATCGACTTCGGTATTTTCCAAATATGTGAATGACATCTTAATGGCTCCTGTATCATTCACTCTTCATTAGCCCTGCGAGTCTCTTTCCGAAAGTGTATCTCTTAATGTTCAGATTGTACCAAGTCAGTGTTTACATAAAAGAAGCCCTACAACTAGTTGGACACAGACTATTACTTGGCTCCGCGGGGTTCATAGTTCTGAACGAAAATTTTTTGTTATTGTTTACTAAGGGAATGCCTCCTTGGTTCTTTTGTTACATTTGCCTTACATTGTTATTACATTAATCCGCGTGATTCATTTCTTAGTCTATACCGACAATACTCTATTTATTGTTATATAATGGCTTTTCCTAAATTCCTAGTGAACTAGATTTCGTTAAATTTTTTTACCCTGACAATCTGATTAATGCCGAATGTCAACTGTATTCGCTCTCACATGTATCAAAATTCATGTTGCCACTGTGCTTTATTTTTACACACATTAACGATTACTTCCCATGTCTTTTTGCTTAAATTTATTGTAGCGTTTAATGACCACGCATGTGCTTTGTGTGGAAAAGTTGTCTCTACCAAACACGGTATGGCTAGACACTTGAAAATTGTTCACGAAGGTAATTTTTGCATATATACTGTGTTTGCTATCAGTTCTTGAAACGGTCTCTAATAATCGTACAAATTGAAGTATTGTTTTCTTTGTAGTGTGTTTTAATACCATATGTAAATGACAAGTAAAGTACGTTGAGTTATTTGTCTTAAAAGATTTCAGATATCATACAGTTACGATAAAAGGCACATATATCATTTGTTTCCATGAGTTATAATGTCACAAATTTGTAACCAGTCATAAGGTTAATAAATACGGTTGACTATAAATAATCATTCACTCAAGTTTAGAGATGAATTAAATTTATCCGAATCTTTTGTAATTATAATGTATTCAAGTACCAATTAATTTTAATTATATATTTTAATGGTTGGTTACACAGAACGAAAAGATTTTGGCTGAAGTCATATTTTGAGCAGAATTACTGCCCACGACCATATCAACTGCTTAAATTTTTTTAAATTTTGCTTGAAATATTACCAAGATCAAGACCTTATCACTGTGTGTGTGTGTGTGTGTAAACAACCATGCAAATGGTCCGGGGTTCGATTCTCGGTCGACACATTCCCGATATCAATCGGCCGGCCTGCGAAATTCGGGCTACCGATATCACATGATGAAAATTTCGTACTTGTATCAAAAATACTGTGTGGAGTCAAGCTATAATAAAAAATATATAATTATAGCTAACTGATCTGTTCCACAGTGCACAAACTTTTCACAGATGGTATTTAAGTATATGACATAAGGGACATATTGTGGACAGATAAATATATTAAAATACTATTTTCTTTTATTGCATATAACATGTACTGAAATTTAGAGAGAAAGAGAAGCGTTTTTAACTGACGCACTGTAAGCAAGGCAGAATCTGTTGAGTGATTACATGTGTGATAGACTATCACAGTCAAATCAAATATTCGAACAAAGTAGCACTAAAATCCGTTTGGCAGCATTTGAGTTGAAAGTACACAAATTAATGTACTACACGCAAAAAACGCAGTTAACTCTGTCACTTGTGATACCATATCATAAGATCATGAGATAGCGAAACAAAAAATTTCTTCCCTTAAAGAGAGGTGAACAGTTACAAGGAAAAAACCTAAATATTCATGTAATTAGTATATATGCCTCACTTCTTAGTAACAAAAGACCCATACTAGACAGTGTCATCATTCCCATCGATGAAAAATCCTCTATCATAGAATATGGAGGTTTGGAGAACACGAAATGAATTCTGTCCTCATCCTAAGCTACAATTCATCTCTATTATTTTAGGGTTGTAGCGTGATGCAGATTAATAGGAATCAGCCAAAATTGCACTCAACATTTTAAATCAATGGTCGCTGAGGTAGAAGTGCTTATTCCTCAAATCTGGATTTAGTTTACGTTGTGGACATGAAATAACCTCACTGGACAGCTTGTGTGGCCTTAAACCGAGTGCCAACCAATCAGAGGAATTTATTCTTCTCTGACGTAGCTGAACTCTAATGTGGCTATGAATGTATAAATATGTTGTGTTTTTCTTTTTAAAGGCCCGTTACCAAGTCTTTTCTGCCGTTTCAGGGTTAATTGCTACATTGATGAAATTCAAGCTTATTTCAATAGGTTTCTGAATAAGACAGAAAATAACCACTTTCACAACTCACTAGTTTAAACACTAATTGACTAACAAAAACACCGATCGAGAACAATTTATAAAACTTAGAAATCCATCGCATTGAAAGGATACATCTGCATGTAGTTCTCGTGTCATATTTCAGCATTTTGTGCGAATTCAGGATGTTAAATAAGATTTAAAACTTTTGGGAGAAATTAAAATACCAAAAAAAACAACAAAATAATGAGTCCATTATATCACTATGTTTTTTCCACTTATCCTGTACTTAGGGAGAGTCAGATATTTAAAGGATGTATCCTGAAACAGTAGAATATTTTCAGTGAAAATGAAATTCCACGGTAAGAGTAAAGACAAAAGTAGGATTCCTACTGTACGAAATGTATTTTAATGAAATGTGATCATTTAGAAACCCATTTAAAACTATGGAGTACTCCAACTATTGACTCCAACGGTGTTCGAACCCATGATGTTCATATTGACCATTCCACTTGGTTTCCTAACTGATGTCAATATGTGATCTAATTTGAAACTAATGAGACCCCTGCAGATTAATACTTGAGAAAAGAATTATGTTGTAGATAACGAGCTGCACTTTTTTAATTATGGCTAATGATGCTAGCTGGCTGCAAAAAGCACGGCAGGTAGAGTGACTCTTGAATCCTTGATTTAATGGTTGGATTATGAGTAATTGTACGTCAGCCTCATTAACAACTACAATAACCTCCAACTGATAATATCCCCTGTCACTTTACAGGTGTTCGTCTGTCAATAGCCGTGGATCAGATACTCCATTTAATTCAGTCCCTTTTTCCTTATCCTAAATTTTTTCAGGTCTTGAGGAGTGTAAGTGTGACTCATGTGGCCGGAAATTTACAACGAAGTTCGCTCTTCATCGTCATATTCGGAGAGTTCATGAAGGTTAGTAAATAAGTAATTTTGGAATTAAACTTTATAGGATGAATACATTTTTCGGGTGACAATAAAATAATGGTCTGATCGAATATAAAGTATTTGGGGATTTTGATTTAAAAATGTATTTCTTGGCCTTTGACACTCAAAACGTTTATAATTGAAATTCTTCATATATTTAGGTGAGATTCTATTGTAACGATGGAAGACAAGGGCCAGACAACAGATCGTTTATTGAGAAAATCAAGAGATATTTATGTTTTTACGTATATTATTACTCGTTATTATTAGCAGAGAAGCAACGTCTTCTGATTCGTTGTTTTCTTGCTCAAGGTTATTCTGTCATCTCTTTGTAACCCTTTCTAAGAAAGTCAAGCTATATATCTGCGAATCGTATTTGCACGAGTTAAGTTTGGTGTGATTGGTTGATGAATTCCTCAAGGTTAAGCTTTGGTAGTGTTTTTTCTCATAACTGCGATTCCATACGTAAGCATTGCCGTAAATTGTTGTCTACAGTTTTGGCTAGCAGGCAGCTCTCACCACATTATTATTCTATCATCGCTACGTGACATATTTTAAAAACGTTTCGCATCTTGACGGTTCCTATTAGTGTCATATTTTTTAGTCTTAAGGTCAAGCAGTAAGGTGCATCCTGCTAATCAATAGATACGTTTACTATCACTCTGATTACTTTTCCAATTTTATTATTAATTGGCCTTTTGTAATTTGCTTATAGGAATATCGGAACTTGTTCTCCCTTGTGCTTGTTGTGGGAAAAAGTTCTCAGCTAAACATGGCTTAGAACGTCATATGCGACTGATACATGAAAGTAAGTATTACTACAATACCATATATATAATGCTTAAATTTTGAGATGTACATTTTTTAGTTGAAGTGACATCATGGACATTATAATCTGTGCGATTTGAGAGTTAACTGATGAACACCAGCTTAAAGTATTCACCTTAATGATGGGACAGAATAAAGTAGGATATCGTCATTTCTCATGAATCGTGTGATTTATCTTGTGATGGAGTTACTACGTTTATCTATCATTTTTTACGCATATTGTGATGTAGTGTGTGATCAATTCATCATCTTTTGTCTCACCGTGGTCTTTTTCGGAACGTCAACCAATCAGGATAGATATTTTCGGCCAATAAGAACAACCCACTCCCACGGTTGTGAGCCAACATTGTTGTGCTAAAGAAATGTATAAATATGATGTTTTGTCTGCTGCTAGGTGTACAATGCGATATCTTACAGTCACAGGCCAGTCTGTCTTTTGTTGTTTGCGTGGCTCAGTGAATCAGAAGGTACAACTGACAAATAGGCATATTAGCGTACCAGTTGAATTCACTACCGTTATAACAATTGGCAGGCGCAGACATAACAAAGTGGTAACGGGTTTATTCAGTTCAGTGCAGTTATAACACTTAACTAAAACTTGATTATATGTCTTAATAATCCTAATTCATTTTATATATTATATTGTATCCACAACACTAATCGTTGTCTCGATGCTCATCACTTAGGTGCTGAACTGTGCATTTGTCCACTATGTAATCGAAGTTTTTCAACGAAATTTGCTTTCAATCGTCACACAAAAACTGTGCATTCAGGTAATTGTTAGTGCAAAAAAGCGCTACTGTTTTTTTTTAACGTTGCATACTGTTTTGGAACAACTTTACGGCTCAAGTGAATAAATTCGTCAGTGAATTTAAAGTAGGTAGTTCCAAAAATGACTTCCTATATGTGTGTTCTATTTTAACTAGCGACAATACATGTCTGACCGATTGAGTTTCAACATAGGACTGTGCACAGAAGTGTAGCAGTTCCAGTTGCCACACTCCTAATGGTACACAATAATAAAGACGTTTAAAAGAACAATCCTCCTAACGGATGAGTTCGGCCGGTCAGTACACATAACGCTATCCACTAGGTTTCAGTCAAGAATGGGTTTTTCTGCCGTGGCAAACTTGAAGAATCTCCTGACACCCATTAGGTGAATTTTTTACATTCACTTTGTCAGCCAGGTGGAGTTAAATGAATAGCCACACTTGGGTCTTGTATGCGTGTCTCCGAAACTCAGCATACATTCATGACTGGATATGCTAGGGTACTGGCTACTGAAGCACTTTATCCGATCTGGCAAAGAGTCCTAACGTTAAATCCTTTAATATGAATTTGGCAGTGTGGTTTTAAGGGGCTATCAGTAGTGTTTTTCTGACTCTCGCTACGCTTAGTGGTTGCAGAGTTAAGTGAAGAGGGACCTGTTTTTCGGCTAGTACTAACAAAAGGAGCGGGGGGCATCATAACTTGTTATTAGAGAGAAACACCTTACTGTTACTATGTCGCTACTCCCCAGCAGTACTACTTCGCCCAAATCCCCCAAATACTTACACTGTGGTGGTGACCTGTTTTAGCCTGATTTTCATCTGATCGATATCCAACCGATCTTTATGCCATGATGGGACCTGAAGAGACATTATTTTGAGCCGCTCGTTGGATCATTGTGATATGCAAGTGCGATCACCACGTCACTGGTCGAGAACGAAATGTAGGTCGGGGGTAATGAATACATTTTTGAATATATCCTAATTCACCAAGAGCTGCTGTTTTTTACTGAGGTACATCAATGGACAGACTAATTTTTGTGATTCACTCTGGGATCGCTCCATTTAAATGGTGTAAAATACTAACTTCGATGCAATATTATTTCTTTCATGGATTTTCACATCTGGAATGTGTGAAGGATGCATTTAGTCAGCCGAATGCACATATACATTATTGACGTAAGACCTACGTTGACCGATTAGTTCAAGTTGATGTAAACTTTATCCATACTTCAAGCAAAGGATAAGAAAGAAATAAAAGTAATACAACTTAAGATTGTAAAGTGCTACAAGTCCAAAGAGAAACAAAACTAATAGAGAATAAGGTATTACAACTAAGATGATGAGTAGTTGTTCTTCTTTGTATATGAAACCATTCGTGTCTGCTTTACTTATTTTCCACATATCTGTGCACTGTCTGTCTGTTTTCAACATAGAACTTTGCACCGATGTGCAGCAGTTCAAGTTGCCACACTCCATGTAGCGCACAAAGCAAGAGAAGAAAGAGACAGTGGACAGAGATTTGAGACAAAAGGAATAGTAATAACAAAGAACAATATAGTTTTATTGGGTATTATATGTCGCAAGGAGTGTATGCATCTGCACTGGCCATTGACAACGATTTTGAGCCATATCACCTATTGTCTCCAGCCATTGGTTTTAACCGTCCCGAGGACCCCAACCAGGAAGTCTACACCTTTCTACGTGACTTAGGCTAACTGTTGTAGATTTCATTGACCGGTGTCATGTTTTGGTTTGACCACCATGTGGTAGTTCTTTTCCAGCCTGACCCTATATCAGCTAACATTCCACGTCGGTCGAGGAAGGCGATGACTAGGCATACGTAACGCATGTCCTAACCATCTCAATCAATGTAATTTCACAGCCTCGTCGATTGATTTCCCCTCCTTACACAGAATTTGACAGCCAACCTCAATATTGCTCACCTTATTATACCACTTCACACGGGAGATAGAACGGAGGCACCTATGATCAAAGACAGCTAGCCAAGCTTTTCATGTCTTCCACTCTCAATGGCGACGTCTCACAGCTGGTCATAAAGGAGGACGGAGCGAACTGATGAGCAGTATGCTCGCCTTTTGGTCGATAGTCGGATATCACGTCTATGCCAGAGACGGCGTAGACTGGCATATGCGTAACTAGCCCTCTCTATCCGTGGTGAGATTTCGTCAGAGATCAACCCGTCGGCGTTGGCTGATGGTGCTTCCCAAATAAGTGAAGCGGTCAACGAGCTCTACCACTTCACTCCCTATTTCTAAACTAAGAGTCAGTATAGTTTAGTCCTGTAACATCATCTTGCGTTTGGCGGGAGTGAATCGCATTCCAAACATTCGTAGATTGCAACTCAAGGTGTTTAGAAGACTCTGCATTTTGTCAGCGTCCTCGCCTAGAAGGACTATATCGTCTGCATATTCTAAGTCAACGAAATTATACCTTGGTAGCAAGTCAATCCCTGAGTCGCTGAAGTGAGTTAGGGTTAAGTCCATTAGTACATCTATGATGAAGTTGAATAGAAATGGGGATAATGGGCATCCTTGACGGACACCCCTATTCGTCACCACTTCATATGACAACTCGCCGTAAGCCCTCACCTAGCTGCATGAATACGAGTAGAGTGCCTTGATCAGTGCAATATATTTTCTTTACATTCCCTTTACAGCCAAACATCGACACAGTACCTCTCGGCCGACGAAATCGAATTCCGTCTTTAGTTCAAGAAATGTGATTGTTGTTGGATGCCTGTGAGAGTATGCCTATGTTCCAGAATCTGTCGAAGGGTGAAGGTATGATCAACACACCCTCTTTCTGGTCTGAAGTCTGGCTAGTTCTTTCGTGTTTGTTTCTACCGAGCACCACTTAGTCTACGCATGACTATTGAGCCTAGGACTTTAGGTATAATATTAGTCAACCTAATCCCCCTGTGATTATCACAGGAATATTTACCTCCCTTCTTGTATATGGGAATAATCAATGACTTACACCAACCCGATGGGACTTCTTCTGATTCCCAGGCGCTGCTTAGAACCTCAATTAATGCAGACAGTAGACTGTCTCCACCGTACTTAAATACCTCTGGAGTCATTCTATCAGATCTTGCTGCTTTGCCTTGTTTCAGATTAGTGACAGCCTTAGTAACCCCAGTTAGGAACGGAGGACCCGTGTCTATATCCCATTCAGGGAGGTGTTGGATGTTCGGCAGGTTGAGCGTGGCTGTAGGCCAGTTAAACTGCTCCTCAAAGCATTCTTTCCCACGTCCTAGTCGTTTATCCTGGGAGCTAATTATGGTGCCATTCTCCTCAGAGATTGTTTCACTTATCATTTGCCTTTTACCACCGGTTTCTCTGATAAACCTAAATAGTTGTCTGGTGTTACCAATCGCCGATGCCCTTTTCATCTCTTTCGCTTTTGTCGCCCAATACTGTTCACGGTCGTTACGAAGGTTTCTTGTTAGTTTGCGTTTGAGTAGCTTTCACTTTTCTTCATGATCGGAGCTCGCTGGTATCAGTCTTCTTGCGTCAATCAGTTCGGATGAGGCGGTAGAGATCCAACGGCTCTTACTAACTTTTCGTTTTGGGTTATTAGCAGCTTTTACAGTTGTGTTGTGGCAGGCTACCTTAGGGGAAGGTCTGCTGTCGACCTCAGATACACATTTCGCTATTTCCCCCTTAAGTAGGGACTCAGTGTCTCGATCTAGTTGGGTACGTAACTGTTTCGCTCCCAGTGATTTCTTATATGTGTTTAGTCGTAAGCATAAACGTGCGTGGACCAGAGCGTGGTCAGAGTCTACACACGTGTTCCAGAAGGAGCGACAGTCTTCTACTGACCCTCGCCAACGATACCCTATGGCTATGTGGTCTATCTGAGTCCAGCGTTGATTTGGTGATGGAGGTCGCCAGGCTAAACAATGTCTCTCTTTGTGCCTAAAGTTAGCGCTGACTAAGAATAGATGATTATCTAAACAGGACCGTAGAAGACGACCACCGTTGTCGGTCCGTGGGCAGGGAACTGCATACGTACCACCTACATACTTTTCAGTCTGGCACAACTCCCCTACTCGGGCATTGAAGTCGCCTGCTAAAAAAATATGTCTCGACGTTTTGCTTTTTGCAGCAAATTAGTTTCAGGTAGAAGTCATCTTTTAGTTCATCCGAACTGCAGTCTTTTGGGGCGTAAGCGGAGACTACGAAAGGTAACGACGGGTAGCGCCGTCTTTCTTTCTTTAAACGGACCCATTCAGACGGACCGCGCATATACGACTATCTACTGGGATCCAGTTAAGAAGTGATTTTTCTGCCCTAACACTCAATAGGATCCCTACACTTGCGAATAGCTGAAGGGTCTCGTAACACTCTTAAAGTGAATTTTGCATTTCCACCTTGTTGGCCGGATGAAGTTAAGTGAATAACCACACTCGGGTCTTGTATGCGTGTCTCCGAAACACAACATATATCCATGGCTGGAGATGCCAGAGTTCTTGCTAGTGACTCCTGTTGTCAAATTTGGCGGAGGGTCCTGACGTTGAAAGCTACCATATGAAGTTGGTGCCTTGGCTTTAAGAGGCTGTCGGGGGTGTTTCTATAGCTCTCATCGTTGTTTAAGGTCACAGAGTGATGTGAAAATGACTCACTAGCCCGAAGAGTAGTAGTAACTGCACCAGGGGAATAAGATGAAGGTGATGTGGGTCAAGGAGAATGGTTCTCGGAGAGGCTTCGTGTGCTGTTGGAAGTGTGTGGGCGTGTGTTACTTCCCGGCTGCCCACACCGTGAAAGTTGGTTGATTCTTCGGGTACCTGAAACAGAGGATTAGTGTTGCGCGACAACACTGCCTACGGGATGACTGCTTTAGGCCAGTCACAGCCTGTATGAAGTGGTTTCTTGGTTTGGTTCCGTATTAGTAAACTTGCTGTCGGCTACGGACCACCGTAAGGTAAGTCGGGATGTGCAGTTTTTGCGGTCGACCTTTTCTAACCCCTTCTCTCCAGAGTGGAGAGACAACACAGCTGGTTATCTGAGCGAAACATCTCACTGCCGTTAAATCCTTGTTCCCCAGCAGTACGACTTTGTCCACAGACCCCAGCTTAGTATAAAAAATTCTTACACTGAGGCGGTAACTGTTTTTAGTCTAATCGCTATCCTAACAACCTTCCTGGCATGGTAGGACCTGCAGGAAAATTAGTTACAGTCAGTGTAGCTTGTTGGGGTATTGCAATGTGCAAGCCCGACCACCAAGTCAAGGTAGCAGCTATCGATCGCGATATCTGTGCACACTCGGGGAAAACACAGAAAGGCATTACGTTACTTTTCATTATGACTTAATACTTCATTTTTATACCCGAATGAAAAGGCCCAACAAAATTTTGATGCGCCAAACATTTCACAATACGACTATAATTGAACACGGCATACATTTGATTGCGATATTTTTTTTCTTAAATTTACATAGATTCGATTAGCCTATGTTCACCGTGTAATATGATATTCCCATCGAAGTTCGCTCTACTGGAACACAATTTGACGGTTCATAATAGTAAGTTTCCGATTAGCTTTTCCCTATACAGCATCTCTAAATTATGTGTTTAATTTTTTTTACCTATTTTTAACATTGTAGCTTCAAAAGTATTTGCTTGCCATGAATGTTTAAAATGTTTTCCTGATACGGAGTCACGAAGGAACCACGAGCAAAATGAACACGCAGGTAAGTGCACGCACGTACAAATCTTGTTCTTACGTTTGTTCTTACTAATATCTCCTTCAATACCTTGCGGAACAGGATAGTCATCATGCCTAAAGGAGATTCAAATAATGAGGTATGTCTTAATTGGAAAAAAATTGGGTCTCCATTACTATAATCTAACGATGACGTATTTGGAAAAACCTACTAGAACTACCTACTTACCAAATAATCTTCCGAACGTATCTACCATTGTTTACACTATAGAAATAATTTGTTCACTGTAACTGTACAAGTCACTGGAGTCCATTGATATCAAGAATTGTTATAATTGAGAATGAAACATCACCTTTGGAAAAAGAGGTATTCATGTGATTAACCTATAACGCTCATCAATGTTATCTACTTTAACACATCAGTATGTCCCGAATGTATCTGGCTCCGTACACCAGGTGTAGTAGGTAACCAGTCTCTATTGCTCAGAAGAACCTAAAATAATGTGGTGTATACAAAGCTAAATGTCAAACTTTTGGGAAAATATTTGTTTCAAGGATATCAAACTTTGTGACATTTATACACAACCGTCCAAGTTGCTGCTGTTTCAATCTCACCAACGAACTTAAGAATCATATATATCATATATAAGAATCATATGTCTAATCCGTTTTCCATTCAGTGGTCACACTGTACACAAGTAATCTTCATGATATCGTTGGCTTAAGCACCTAGTTTTGGTGCGGTGAGATTCTCAGTTCCAAATTCATCCCACTTAGTATCGAAAGAACTTTTATAACGCATGAGGGAAATTGTCGTCATTATTTGGTAGTTGTAAAAATGTATGCAGTTCCTTCTTATCACTTATCTTCAGGTCGTAGTCGCACAGTAGTAAGATGTAGTAAACCAGACATTTATCCTTAAGGTACAATTAGCAGTTGGCTAGAATTCATTTACGCGGAATAGATTTTTCCTGATTGATACATGCTGCGAAGGTTGATGATGCTGCCTAAGTTGAAGTAATAGGAACACGACTTGAACTCAGGATTCCTCTACTGAAGACCTAGTAATTGAGTGAATGAGCCACTCTCTCAAACAGCAACACTGTTGTAGACCTACAGTTGGTTAGCCTTGTTCTGTAACATGAATCTGGGTGGTTTTAAGGACCGTAAAGATTTATGCACAAGCAGCATAAGTGTCATTGATATGGGTTGAAACCTTACTAACGGTCAACCGTCTTTTGTGTTCATAGATGTTAATTTTTATCACTAAGAGTGATACTAGTGGAACACTGCTCAAAGCCCCTGCCCCTAAATGCTTTATTGAGTTTCGGTGGACTCCAAGCTATCTACACTAGTAATTATCCAACTATTATATTCCTTTATATTCCCCGTGGAGCACAGAGCTGCAAGCTGGAGTTATGAAGCTTCAATAGCAGTGGTATTAATTCTTAGCCTTATGCCCAACCTTCCCTGTTTACCAGTCTTATTACTTGTTTAGCGAGGTAAAGGAGTGCGCCGGTTGGCGACGAACCCTGTACCACCTGCGTGGCTAACGAGCGTTCTACGCCTGTGCCACCGACGTCAATTAATCCAACTAGGTATACGTATAAATCTTTCCCGCTCTGCATCATGCGTAGTCTCTTTTAAAATAAGCGTAAAGTTTGGACACTGTGGTAGTATGCAATTCTATTTAAGTTTGTTTATTGGATATATCACAGCGAAACAGTTTTATTTAATGATTCACAATTGATTGTTCATAATCGTATCAGTTGTAAGGACAAAATTTCGAAACTCGATATTTATTGTTCTCGTTCTTTATCGACATTTGTCTTAGAGGTAGTAGGATTTCCTAGTTGTCCGGATGGACAGATGTTTAATGATTCCTACTGCACATTTTCTCAGTTGGTTTGATAAATATTATTATATCCTTTAATTCCTAGAGGAACATAGGGCTTCAGAAGTGCGTCTCCATTGCCTTCGGTTTTCTACCAACTTTTTCACCACGCTCCAAGTCTGCCCACATGTTTTCATCTCTTCACATGACCTCCTCCAAGTCACCCTCACACTGACGACCAACTCGCCGCTTCCCTTTCAATCGGGTTCCACTCGAGCAATGGCTTGTCTAGTGATGTCACTTGATGGCTTGTTTCCTCAGAGTATGGCCAATCCATCTCCATTTCTTCCTGCCTATTTGTTTCACAATCGGTTCCTGGTTGGTTCGCTTCCAGAGATCCCTATTGCTGATATTTTCTGGCCATCTGATCTTGAGTATTGAGCGAAGACAACTTTTAATGAAGGTCTGAAGTTTGTTTGATATGCTCTTTATGACGCGCTGGCCAAGTCTCTGATCCGTATGGTGAATAGCACTGACTGACTTCACATTGTAGTTGAAAATTTGATGATGAGTGCTGTTGACCTCCACACAAACTTGAGAGTTTGTCTTGCTTTGATATCCTCGTCAGTTCCGCCCTTAGTTGAAACGATGCTTCCCAGGTAGGTAAAGTAGGTTGTTTCGTTCAGGTTCCTCCAATTTATGCTGACTGTTGTCTGTTGCTGTTGGCCAGGAATCGTCGTTACTTCTGTTTTCTCTATGTTCACTTGAAGTCCTATCTTCTCTGGATGCTTCTTCTGCCAGCTTGTTGCTTTTCACTTGCATATCTTCCAGTTTGTGGGAAATCAGACATACATCATCGGCGAAGTCCAGATCCTCCAAGTTTTTTGTGTGAGTCCATTTTATGCCTGTTTCCTCATTGCCCGCTCTCTGTCGCATTATCCAATCTACTGCAATCAGGAAAATAATTGGCGATAGTAGACAGCCTTGCCTCACTCCCGTCCTCACTTCGAAGTATTCCGTGAGTTTCCCGTTGTGTATTACTTGGCATGCAAAACTGTCGTACAACTGTTGGATGAGAGATTTGATGAATATAGATTCAGTTTTCAATCTCTCCCTCCACCCCGTTACATTAGGCTTTAAGACTTTCAAGTTGTCCGATCCTAATGTATAGTTTGTTTGCAAGTGCATTTACTGCTTCAGCTGAGTTTGTTTCTTGATTCATCCTATTAGGGTCCACTGGTCTAGATTTTGTTGAATCTTTGTGCTCCACTAACCGTGCTTAATATTATGACTAATACTGTTCCTGAGCATCAGATAAACTGAATCAGTTTGTGTAGCGAGCTACACAAGACTCAACTTGTCTAGTGTTTCTAAGTGTTTTTGGTGTTCTTTTTTTCCTTCACGTTCCCAGTGGAACATAGGGCCTCAAGCTAGTGGCTTGAAGTTTCTGTAGCAGTGTTCAATTTTACAGGATGGGGTTGCTAGTCTCATGCCCAACCTTTCCATTTTACCAGCATTATTTGTGGCTTAGCAAGGTAAAGGAGTGCGTCGGCTGGGAACTGAACCCCGGACCATGTGCATGGTCGGCGAGCGTCCTAACCGCTGTGCCATCGACGCACTTCGTTGGCCTTGGATGCCATTTTCATTCCTGCTTGGATCATTGAATAATAAAATTTTTCTCAACATCACCCAGTAAATCATACTGTCGCACAGTGTAATATATTTAATAAACTAATTACAATAGAATCATTTTCTCTTTTCTTAACGAATAAGTTGAATTTTTTCTTCCCACAGTTGGTACGTCCAATATGTATTCGTCAACCACACAGTCATCATAAGATGAAGCACTTCTATTATGCTCTGCTACGTTTCCAATAAACTATAACACCACTGTATAAAGTAGCTTTGTAAATTGAACAATTTACAATCGAATTTCTGTGCTTCTTCGACGTATCAGATGCTGTGACCGTGTACATAATTATAATATTGTTTTATTCATCTATATGTAGTTAAATCGCATTGCCATTATTAAACACTGTGCTCATACATAATTCAAAAAATATTTAAATATACCATAATTATATACATACACTAGTTTTATTTATTTATACAAAGACGGAATCAACAGCTATTATTTCCTAGACGAACTTTTTTTAAGATTTTTTTTGTTTGTCATAGACTTGGAACATGTCGGACAGAACCATCGACCTTTCGGTGCAACAGTTAAGTTCACACAAGCATAATGAAACCATTCAAAAGGACAGTCTGGAGCGTCACATGCTATCATGTCTCCGTAACTTACATCTCTGCAAATACAGTAACGTTTGCAGTCCTCATCATCCTCTGGAGTGTCAGTAGTATCTTCTGCTTTTGGATGAACATCAAGTTCATACACATGGTCATCAAATGCAACTTCCGGTGATATGTTAAGACCACAAATAGACGAATCTTCAAGCTTCCCTAAGTCATCATTTGTGAGGTCCTGTCTCCTAGGATGTCGACGTTTTTCTCGAGTACCTGGCGTTAATGTCGACCAGCCAGGTACTCCTACATCTTCTGTGATTTGCGTGTCGATTGAACTTGATCTAGGTGTCAAATTGAGCTTTTCACGATCTGATAAGCTAGTTTCTGCTGCATCGTAGAATAGATGACTATTGGTAGAGTTAGTGGTTCTGATCATGCGATCGTGTATTCCAACGTGAGTTTTAGAATCCACTGAAACTTCTTGTAAAAGGCATGGATTGTTTTTTAAAATCGTGGATGAAAATCCAGAACCCATATTTTGGATGTTTATAGAATCCTCTTCGAGCTTTGTAATAACGCCTGGTGGCAAATTAACCCTGACATACCAAGAAAAATAGGATAAAAGCTGTAATTTGAGAACTATATAACATTAGGCGAGTGTTGTTGAAGATGACTGACTGTTAGTTAGTGAAAATCAGCATTAGCTTATATCTAAGTGTTGAATGCTTTAAGATATTCCAACTAAGGTATGTTTTTCTGATACGATGAAAATTAGTGTTTAACAGGTATCAAGTGGTATTTAAGAACTGAAGGTGTTCTTTGCGTTTTCGAAAATATCGTGTAAGGTTCGCCCATCTTTTACACGACTAGAAGAAAATGAGGAGATCAGCAGCCTCCAATCATAAGCATTGTCTTCAATCTGTTGTGTTAAGTGGTATAATATGTTCAGTTATGTTAAGCTTAGGGGTACAGTCTTAGTTAAGTAGAGAAAATCACTAGATGAGATCGTGAGGCTGCATTGTTAAGTATGTCGAGCCATTGACTTCTACTGCGAGCAATGTCAGCTGACATAGAGTTGGGTTGCAAAAGAGATCTGATCACATAAATCCATGACAGTTTTGGTCTAAGCCGCGTGGAGAAGTGTAGACGGTTTTGGTTGGGCTTGTCGAGATACTTAAATGCAGTGACTGGAGAAATGTTGTTAACATAACTCTAAATCGATCCCTACGAAGCGGATGCATTTACTTCTGTGATCTCTGACTCCTTAAACTATTATCATTCTCCATGTAATTATAATTGCCTGTGTCTGACGTTTATTTACTGACAGCGATGCTGTTTTATAGGAAAGCCAGTACACAGTGGTATTAGTACAAATTTAATTAGGATCAATGGTGGTAAACCAATGAAAAATCCTCAAATAACCGTCTAAAGCTAATGCATTTTAATTGCTGGCAAACTACTGACGTTAATCCTTATATGCATTCACGGGTTGAGCAAATATTCTGGAGCTGAAGTCTTGCCATTCAGTTGGTGAAATCAGTTATTTCGACAAAAGAAAATCATCCAATCACTTCTACTATCATGGCAATAACCGTGTTGATTTCCATTGACTAGATGTTTGTGTGCCTGCCTTTCTAAACTCTTGTATTTCTTCACAACGGCTTACATATTTCCCTTCGTGTTTATGTACATCCTAATCAAAACTCATTAAATTATTCATCTTGTTAAGCAACTGCAATACACTTATTCAACTTCTCCTATGCATCGACTAACATTGACAAATATTTTTGACAACTCATCACCACTACCCTCATACTAATATTCACCCGCCTAGTTATTATTTGATTATTCACCATAATTTCTAAAAGATTTCGATGACAAACAACAACCCTAACTAATTTTTATTATCTGACAAAACTAATGTGCACGCACATGCAAAAATAATTATGTATAATTGCGATTTCACAGCTAAATGAATGAATTCACTGAAAAGAGACGTTAAGCAAGGAGAGTATATATATATATATATATATATATATATATATATATATATATATATATATATAGCTTTATTGTGTATTGGGCTTAGTCACGAATTTCTCAATCAATTAGGCGGATGACAGTCAGGATTTAATTCGGAGCTCATGAACAAAATAGTGTGAGTAATGAATGGATAATGGTCAATCCTGTTGATATCTTGGGGCTGAGAATTAGAAGGTATGATATTCTGCCTGGAGTTTGACAATGACGTGAATTATTTCAGGTGTGTACTCAGGACTGTCACAATTTTTTTATCGTTTGTGCACAACTAAAGCTGTGAAGTTACCAGGTAGAGGTTTTGATGCATTCTGTTACTGTACTTTACTGGTAACAATATGTTTAGTTAGACAATAAAATGTACCCTAGTTTCATACAATGCTTTGCTACACTACAAACTTTAAAATAAATGGGAACTTGAACTTACGCAGTATCGAAGGTTCTTTCGTAGGAACTGTCACTAGATTGGTGATCCAAAGACATAAAATCTGCAGAAAATGTTTGTGAGGACAGTGAGTGTCGTTATATTCAAAATTACACATTTAAATATCTTTTTCTAGATTTCCATATCTAGCACTCCATAAAATAAAAGACAATCCACCAGAGTAACAATTTAGCTGCTTTACATTCGAGTTGTCAGTTTTAAGGATATCTACCAGTCTCTTCTACAAAACTATGGGGTGTATTTTTACATTGGTTGTATAAATTCTACTTATTGAAATGTTACGTTCTTAATTTGTCCATGTTAAGATATTTTGCAGTCTCGCACATTGCTAATACAAAATGACTCTCATAGACCACAAACATTCTATGAGCGGTTTTTCTATTCCTTTACGTTTCCAGAGGAACATACGGCTTCGAGCTAGAGACTTGAAGTTCCGATAGCAGCGGTATTTATTTTTTAGGGATGGGGCTGCTAGCCTGACGTTCGACCTTCCCTCTATGCCAGGCTTATTGCTGGCTTAGTGAGATAAAGGAGTACATCGGCCGGGGATTGGTTCCCGGACCACGGGCGTGGTCGGCGAGCATCCTACCGCTGTGGCACCGACCAAAAAAGTATATATACTTCCGTAACATATAAGCACAGACAAGATTATCACCCGAACAAAATCAGTTCTCTTTACGTCAGCCGACACTATACAAAGGTTGTTATTAAAACTTTCAGAACGTATGCTAACTAGAACTTACAAACACCAGAAGTACTGCATCAGTCATTTCAGTACACTTATGATGTCCCTAGTTTTGTAACTGAATATAATCCAACTTTACTCTGGTCTCTTGTTTGATTTAGTGAAGGTAATGTAACCATAGAGAAAGTTTCTACCACACTCTCTGAATTTTTAAACCAGGTTCAACTTTTATTATACCCTGCATATATTAGGCTAGGCGGTATAAACATCAAACAAAGCACCGCAACTTTTAGAGACCGTCGTTGATAGCTAAAGGAATTAAACGAGGAATATCACTCAGTTACGAATGAGCCACATCTGTTTTATAAAGGCTACTGATTTTACTTGGCTGCCTAAATCTCAATAGGTGGAATGGTGTTTGAACCTATGACCCAGAAGTTTAAAACTGGGCTCCTAGACCAATCAGCCACAGCTCCACACTCAAGTGAGGACAAGTTACTTAACGCTTTATACTATATGTATGCACCAATATTTGGAAGCCAATCAGTGACAGACTCACTAGTTTGGGCTTGACAGCAAACTAGCGGTTATAGGAAAAGTCCATGGATTAGAAGTGATTAACACCTGTTTGCAAGTAATTGCAGTGTGATTTGGAGGAAATACATAAAGTTATGAATGTGTTCAACTGCACCAGGTTTTGAATCTTGTACATACTGAGAATGAGTCACATTAGAAAATAGGTTATAAGTGTCTAGAAACACAAACTTACTTTCATCGACAGATTTAAGAGGGTCCAGACTATCTGAGTGGACGTTATTTTTTCGGTGGAAACCACTCTCCTGAACATGTGATCCAGGTGTGGAAACCAACCCGGAATTAGTAAGGGGTATCTGGTCACTGTTGAGTGAAAAATTGGTGTTTTCTACAGACGAAACTCCACCTGAATTCACAGGTCTCATACAGGCAGATTTAAGTGCTGCTCTGAAGGCCGGACCGACCAGTCGTCTCCTAACAGAGAAGCTATTTTTGCAATGGCTAGACTGTTGAAATCGTAATCTTTGGCGTCTACCTATAAAAGTATATTAAATAAAGTGAAACAGACGTTCTGCTTTTGAGGCCATTGATATCGATTTCCCCAATGCATTTTGGACTTCTAAAGCGTGTTGCTTTTAAAAATATGGATGTACTTTTCTCTATTTGCTCTGTTATGCCTGAGTTATCCGCCTCCAATTCGAGACGAAACTTTTCTAATTCGATATCTAACTTCCTCACTAGTTTGCGGTACTTTGAGACAAAAATGATTATATATTAACATACTGTGTTATATATATTTTCCACGATCTCTCTTTTTTCCTTGCAATGCACGAGCGCCCGTTCGTATTCCTGTTCAAACTGTCAATAATATAAAGTAAAATTACCCGAGTGATGTTCAAAATTTGGGTATTTTTCTCATATTCCAATGGTTTACCCAATCTGCAGTTTTCAAAGAAAACCTGGATCGTTTCAGACAGAGAATCTAAAATATCTAGAAAGTGGAACGTAAATCTACGTCGATAAATTACTCTGGGCTTGTAAATCTAGTTGGCGAACATTTGTGAGGCTTTCGTTTAATTCAGATGGCAAGTTTTCGATTGCTGAAGATTCAAAAGTTAAAAAAATTTAACTTTACCTTCCATAAAATCCTCGAAGTATAACATTTTCTTTCTGTTGCGCAGGAAATTATCACGTTAATATGCACCGTGAATCAGTTTATTTGATGTAAGTCCACTTAATTACATTTCAAACGAGACTGCAAAACAGAAAAATAATACATCAAACCCGAATAATCCTTAATGTATAATCTAAGACATCTAGATTTAAGAAAGCTTTGCAATCGACAGTTCAAGTCATCAGATACCGAAACAGCATACACTAAAAAGGGAGCGCGAATGTAAGGACCCAACCAAGAAAAAACATTAATTTATGACAAGAAAATTTAATGAATAGTTGTCAAGTTGTTCACAAATTGTACGTCAGATAGTATACATGTCTGCATTATTTTCAGCTCATTGAAAGTTTCTAACTGGTGATACCGACTGATTGGGTTTCATCGTAGAACTCTGCATAGAAGTGCCACAGTTGAAGTTACCATACTCCATACAACACACTAAAATAAAGAACAGAGATCCGGAAGAACTGTATTATTTGCTGTTGATGCTACCAGTAAACTTGCCACAGATCGGCAGCCAACGACATAGATTGATACCATCGTTTGGTCTCGTCATCCTTTTCCCAATTGAACATGCATCCTATCGCTGATTATCTATCGAATGATAGTGTTTTAACTTTTTCACACCTCAGGTTTAATCTCCATTTTGCTAAACTTACAGTTCACCCCAGAACGGGCAAAGGATCAAATATACCTGTAATTCAAATTCCGTAACGCCTTCAAATATCATACTTCCCAGGTTGTCTCACAACAGAATCCTAAAAAACCATGCTGCAGAGCAATATAAACGCCGTTTTATAGGTAACTGGGTGTCTAACCGGAGCCAAAAATAATGCTTTCATTATCCTTCTAAACACTGTCAGTAGCAAATCCACCTGTCCAGTGAATATTCTCAATTACTAGTACGTCTTTTATAAAATAAAAAAGAATTAACTTACAAAGTAATTCAACAATCCCTAATAGATTAGTGCATTAGGCTTCGAGTTATGTTAAACTGAGACAGCCTGTACTATCGAACTGTCTTAAGTGTGAAAACCGGTGGAGTGCTGTGAAACAAAATCCTTTCCCAAAATATCTATGTTTGAATCAACTTTCTACTCATTAAATTACTTTATATCTATGCAATATCTATTTTACCAATGTTAGGTTGCGGCTTTACCGGCCTCAATGCCACAGACTTAACTACAAGAAGAGAAAGTAGAATTGTGCCTGACAGTATTTTAACTACGATACATGTTAATACAATGGGGTCTATATTTTGTTCCTAATAAATCCTCATCATTTCCTCTCACTGACAATCTTTCCAGACCTATTTTCCTTGCACAATGCATTTCCAATTCTCTCACATTGCGACCAATCTTGAACTGTAATAATTGTGGAGAATTAACATTTGAAACCAGTGCCTATAGAAAAGAACGGAAACACGATGTCTGACGATATGATCTCGGCTCAAAGTATGATTTTGAGATGTGGCTTAGAATACTACTACATTTACGCATTAAGAATGCTCTTGTTTCTTACCATGATCTCGACTTCTACATCACATCCCTTTAGTTCCTTCTATTTTTCGTCTAAAAGCAACCTTTTACCCTGTATAATCTCTTCATTAATTTATAAATCCTTCACTATAGATTGATGTGCAACTACTGCATTTGTTAATAATAACAACTATACTTTGACATAGCTGCCTTTTATTGATAAAAACATCCATAAGAGACACAGCACATTAGCACTAGGCTTCCAAATCTAAATTAGGTACGACATACACAAACAGATGAAAACCTGCAACAAGTAGCTACTCTATCCTATAGGAGCATATCACTATTGATTTTACTTTTGTGTCGAACAACGTTAGTCAAGATACGTTTTTATTGAGAAGAATAATAAAAGAACGTTCCTATGCTCATTACTCAGACAAATCTGTAGCGGTAAATAATTTCCTGAAATTATTGACCACAACAACCATCACTGAATACTGGATGCTGACCTTTAGTGTTTAAGTCGACTTGTTTAGCTGAAGGCTTCAGGTCAAGCATCCTCGCCTTCCGGTACTCCGTCGTTTCACGTTCGTGCACGATCACTAGCCAGCTAAGCTTCGTCTGACAACTCGTTTTGGTCCCGAAATATATCTTGTAGTTTGCACGATCAAATCGTGTCTTTTGCTTTGCCACGAGAAACGAATACTATAGAAGTTGTTGGTATAAGATCTTGTGTTAGTATATTCCGTACAAATCGCGAACGTCAATACCGTCAGCCTCTAAAAATCGTACCAATATGTACCCGGATGATAACTGGGATATCGTTGCTGGAGTATGACTTTGAACAGTACTTGCTACTGTCGTCTTTTGCAAGAATTAGTTCTAAACCCACCACACATATGTAATGTATGCCATACAAATATGAGGGCTCAGATTCCCATAAATTAACCTATTATAGACGTTCAGCCCAAGTTTCACAGATGAAAATATATACTTGTTATAAGGAAAATGTTTACAGCTGTGATTAGAGCTCACCATATGACCATTGTTTATTATCTGTCATCCCCTTCCATATTTAAAAAACGGATGTTTGTCTAGAGGTATATAAGCGGTACTCCGTACGTTTTAAGACCATTTTCACAGGATTTATGAATCATGCAATTGAGTGAGATTTTTGCTGTAGACTATTTGTCCATTTTTATCATTAGGAAAACAAATCACGCAATGTGTTAGATACAAGTATCTAACATTCTGAAACAAGTTGTAAGAGATTTTCTAGCAGACTGTATGAATGCCTTGGATACAGCTACTCTACATTTTACCACCGTCAAAAACGGTTACGTGATGCAGCTTCTAGTGACTGGGACTTCTTGAAACGTTACTGAGCATCTACGGAGGAGGTACCAAGGGATTATACAGTAACTTCATCTTGAAGTTCAACGGAACAGAGAACAGTGTATATACCTAGTACTAGTGAGACTGACACTTGTTTTACTAACTGAGGAGAACAGTAACATGAATTATAATGTAATAAATAATTGTAACAGAATTTCAAGTTGTTCCTGAAAACATCACACACAAATAGCTGGTCAGAAAGTCCATTATGGAATTATTCTTATCATCCAATGTAACGGGAGTTGGTATGCAAGAAATATCGGACTGTATCCGTAAATTTAGTCCACATGTGCCAACAACCATAAGAAGCTCGCTAAAAGATAGAGGCATGTGTGTACCTAGATTTCCTGGACAGGGTGTTAACTATCAAATTGGACTGAAGGAAAGTCTGCAGAGTTATATAGATAGTTGGGTTGACTACGGTACTTTTCAACATGACGTGCAAATTAACTATGACGGTTTATCATTATTGAATTATTCTTCACAGCAGCTGTGGCCATTCCTAGGTCGTATCACGACCCCATACGTTAGTGACGTCTTTTTAATTGACATACATGGTGGGCTGAGAAAACCGAATGACTTCAATGAGGTTTCTAGGGACCTGTTAGTTGAATTGGAAGGTGTTTATAGAAACCGTCCATACTATGAGAAGTAGGGTAGTACTGTGACTGTCAGTGTTCTAGCGTTTATATGTGATACACTTGCTCGTTCTAATGGTAAACAAACTGTCAGTCACAATGGAAAAACAGGTTGTGATAAGTGTAAAGTTATGGAGTGTCATTTGGAGGGTAGGATGACATTTCCTAATGGGAACTACAGGCAACAATGGACAATACTCCAGTTGGCGACATGAAAATACTAATGGGAGACATGAACGCCAAACTGGGACCAGACAATACGGGAAGGGAACTCATCATGGGTAGAGAAGCTCTAGGAGAAATGAATGAAAACGGAGAACTCTTCGCCGACTTCTGCGCCTTCAACGAACTGGTGATTGGTGGCAGTGTATACAAGCACAAAGATATCCACAAGGCTACATGGGTGTCACCAGACGGGCAAACCAAAAACCAAATCGACTTCATCTCAATCTCAAGGAAGTGGAGGCGCAGCCTACTGGACACAAAAGCAAGAAGAGGAGCAGACGTTGGCTCAGACCACTATCTCGTACAAGGGACAATCCAAATCAAATTAAAAGCTTTCAAAGAAGGAGGAGCTGCAGATAGACCACAAGCCAAGTTCAACACTCAAAAGCTGAAGGACCAGGCTACAAAGGACATCTTCATTGCAAGCATAAAGGACAAAGCCGAGACACAAATCAACACTAGCGAAGAGGTCGGCGTTGAAAAGCACTGGAACAACTTGAAAACGGTGTGGAGCCAAACCTGTATAGAAATTCTAGGCAGAAAAAAGAGACAGGACAAACAGTGGCTCACTACGGACACTTGGAAACTAATAGAAGAGAGAAGGACAGTGAAGCAAAAGATTATCCAGTGCACCGACGAGCAACAAAAACAGGAGCTGAATGCAAGCTACAATACACTGAACAAAAGAGTGAAGAAAAGTGCCAGGGAAGACAAAAGAAAATATTATGAAACCATGGCAAACGAAGCAGAACAAGCTGCAGGCAAAGGAGACCTCGCCACACTCTACCAAACAACTAGGAACCTTTCGGGCAAACGTTCGACACAGATTAAGCCAATAAAGGACGACAATGGAAAGTCAATCACCAAAGAGGTGGAACAGAGAAAGCACTGGGTTGAACACTTCAAAAGACTTCTAAATCGTCCGCCACCTACAACACGTCCAGCAATACCAACAACGGAAGCAGAACTACCAGTGAACACTGACCCCCCGACGAAATCGGAAGTCCTGAATGCAATCAAGATGCTTAAAACTGGGAAAACACCGGGACCAGATGGAATCCCAGCAGAGGCTTTGAAAATAGACCCAGAGACAACAGCGGACTTGATGACACCACTACTGGAGAAGGTGTGGAAAGAGGGCAAAGTACCCGAGGATTGGAAGAACAGTTACTTATTCAAACTTCCAAAGAAAGGAGACTTAAGTCAATGTAAAAACTGGCGGGGAATTATGCTTCTGTCCATTCCAAGCAAGATACTAAGTCGCATCATCCTGGAGAGAATCAAACAAGCCCTAGATGAAAAACTTCGTCCGGAACAGGCTGGATTCAGGAGAAACAAATCATGTATTGATCAAATCGCCACTCTACGGATCATCATTGAACAAAGCTTGGAATGGCAGTCACCTCTCTATCTCAACTTCATCGACTTTGAAAAGGCCTTCGACAGCGTCGATCGAGAGGTCATTTGGAAACTACTTCGCTACTACGGGGTCCCATCGACAATTATACACCTCATCCAACAGTTATACGACAATGCTGCATGCCAAGTAATCCACAACGGGAAACTTACGGAAGCCTTCGAAGTGAGGACGGGAGTGAGGCAAGGCTGTCTACTATCACCAATGATCTTCCTGATTGCAATCGATTGGATAATGCGACAGACAACGGCAACCAACGAGGGAACAGGCATAAAATGGACTGACACAAAAGACTTGGAGGATCTGGATTTCGCCGATGATATATGTCTGATTTCCCATAAACTGGAAGATATGCAAATGAAAAGTAACAAGTTGGCAGAAGAAGCATCAAAGATAGGACTTCACGTGAACATAGATAAAACAGAGATGATGAAGATTCCTTGCCAACATCAACAGCAACAACAGACCACAATAAGCATAAATGGGAAGAACCTGAAAGAAACAACCTCCTTCACCTACCTGGGAAGCATCGTCTCAACTACAGGCGGAACTGACGAGGACATCAAAGCCAGAATCGGAAAAGCAAGACAAGCTTTCATTACTCTCAAATCTGTGTGGAGGTCAACAGCATTCAGCATCAAAAATAAGATCCGGATTTTCAACTCCAATGTGAAGTCAGTGCTACTATACGGATCAGAGACTTGGCGAGTCATAAAGAGCATCTCAAACAAACTTCAAACCTTCATTAACAACTGTCTCCGCTCAATACTCAAGATCAGATGGCCAGAAAAGATCAGCAACAGGGATCTCTGGGAGCGAACCAATCAGGAACCGATTGTGAAACAAATAGGCAGAAAGAAATGGAGATGGATTGGCCATACGCTGAGGAAACCAACAAGTGACATCACTAGACAAGCCCTCGAGTGGAACCCGAAAGGGAGGCGGCGAGTTGGTCGTCCAAGGGTGACTTGGAGGAGGTCATGTGAAGAGGAGATGAAAGCATGTGGGCAGACCTGGAGCAGGGTGAAAAAGTTGTCAAAAAACCGAAGTCAATGGAGGTGCGCAGCTGAAGCCCTATGTTCCTCTAGGAACTAAAGGATACAATAATAATATAATAATGGGAACCATATCCTGAGAAATGATAAAACATTCCGTGGTATCACGCAAGTCACCATCGGGCAGAACCTGTCTTGAGGACTTGCCGTTTGACATTGTCAAACCACTTCCTTTGGAGACAATGCATCTTATATACCTTGGTGTTTTTAAGAAGTTAGACCTCCTTTGGCAGGGTCTCGTGGCACGACGAGATAAGCAAATGGGTAGTAAGGTTATTGCAAATATTGAAAACGGACTGCAAATAAGTAGGAACTACATTCCTTTTGATTTTCAGAGGAAGTGCCAGACGTTAGATGATGCTAGCCAACGGAAGGCAATAGTGTATACTTTTCCTACTGTATTTGGATCCCGTCCTACTCAGGAACACTACCACTGCTCCTGTACGCCATCCTTGGCAGTATACTCACTGTCGAGTACCAAATACAGCCTATGCTGCTCAGACAGATTTAAGTGATTTCCTACTGCAGTATGAGAATTGTTTTGGGAGTGAACACATTGTCCACAATATTCATTCTCTGAAGCATATAGCGGTTGACGTCAAGTTGCATGGGCCATTAGAAGGATTCAGTGCATTCCCCTTCGAATTCTATTTGCGTAAGATCAGAAAGTTTGTGCATTTTGTATATGCAAGCAGCTCAGCGCTATGTTGTGCACGTGTACTTAATGAAAAGTACGTGTCAAGCATGTACCTAAAGAAGCTGGTGCTAAAGGCGTTGAGTTTACCAATGGAAAGATGACGTATCTGAACACCATATTTACATCTTATTCAACAGACAATGTCATCTTGACCTCAGGTAAACTAGGGATTATAGTGGAAATGGAAAGTGAAGAAAAAAACACTTTCGACCCTACTGTGATTTTATTTCACCGTTTACATCCAGGAATTCAGGGACATTCAGTTGTTCAAAATTCAGTCACGCAACACACTGGATATCCCAAATGGACATTGTTAGCAAGTGCATGACTATTTCAACTTATAATGATAAATTAGTCATCCCCTGCTTCATACTTTTAAATAAAGGTACTGTGCAGTAACTTATGAGATTGGCTAACTTGTTGCTTGAACTATTGATATGTAATTCGTCTACGTTATTTTGTAACATCTGTTGTGAAGTCTGAAAACCTAACTCTAACTGGCTAATGCTGTTGGTCAAACTGCCGTTCATTTGAAAGTTGATTCCGAATTTTTAAGATAAAGGTATATTTATGCTTAGCAACCTGATACAGATTAAAGTAACTGCCGTATTTCGAATTCATTAAATATCCTTTTTCATCAATCAGATTTTTCGTCGTCCCTTTGATGTATGATAGCATAGTCGCTGTCCCAAACACGGGTTGTGAGAAGTGATTCATGTGCATACAAACAAGCACTACAAACAATCCAGAGCCTGTGTTTAATGGGGCTGGATAGTCATTGAATTCTTTCGACTACAGGAATTTGGTAAGTTGGAACATTTCCGTATCCCCTTTCTAGATACGTATGAGTATTTTCAAAAGTCTTTAGAGCTTTTCAGAAGCTATGGTCAAAGCACTACAAAAGTTAGACACGAACGGTGACACCTTGCCAATGCCTAGTAAGGTAGGGGCAGTTTTTTATCTAACACACTTTTCAGGAATGCAAAGGAAAATGACAAGGATTTTTACAACGCCATGGATACTGATGTAGCTGCCAGCGAAGTTGGTTGCATCAGACCACAATACCCAGATTATAATATATTCGAAGACTCCGTAACCCCAATTTCAAGTACTAACCTAATTCAATGACATTCATTTTCAGCATTTCGAATGCTCCGAACTTCCATTCTTCATCTCCTGTTGACAAAAAGACGGCAACTACTTAACCAGTAAGAATGAATGCTCCACTTAGTGTACTTGCTTTAGATTGCCGTCTAACGAAGCTGTCGATTATTCCATGAATTTTAAGGAATTAAAAGAGGAAAAGTCCAAGGGGATGTTTTTGAGTTAAGGTATTTAATTCTCATTTTTTGTACACTGCTGAAATGGTTGGCTACCTTCAGAATGATCCAAAGTTATCACTTAAAGTCATGATACATACTATCCTAAAACCTGAAGTGGATTTGAATTTTACATTCCAGGAAATTTGACAAAGTGTGGTTTATGCCTTTTATGAGATGTAAGGTTCATTAATGAAGTACATATTTCTAAGGCGTTCTCCGGCCAACTGATGTCGTCGAGAGAGGTCGGTGTCAAAACAGATAGGAACACGAAATCGTACTTCCATAATTTGAAAGATCGTGTTCAAAGGCGTAAGCTGAAGAAAGGAATTTAGGCAATATTGCGACATGTCTGCTTACTTTGGTAGGTCATGGTTCAATCAACACATAGGTATCCCAACATTGATTTTAATTCCCAGGAAAATGAAGAAGAAACCAGGAGAACCAACAGTCGGAGTTATGTAAGTACACCTTTCTCACTGTAAATGCTGAGTGTGATGGACCAAAATTTTTCCTCAACGTTATATCTTGCTTATTTACATGGTGCTATTGGTGGAACTCACTTGACGGATTTGCAGTGATGTCTTACTAAAAACCCGAATTCCCCTAATTATAAAAACTGATTTCTTTTATTTTTTTATTACAGCTTGATTCCACACAGTACTTTTAGGTACAAGTATGGAATTTCAGCATGTGATATCGACAACCCGAATTTCGCAGGCCAACCACTGATATCAGTTGTGCGTCGGCAGGGTTTCGTGTTTCGGATTGCGAGGGCGATTGTTACTTCCCGGTTGCCCACACCGTGGAAGTTGGTTGCGTGACCACAGAGCCCAGGGGACAACTGCTTGTGGACGGTCACACGCGGCCTGTTTTTGTTCGTTCTCTTTTGTTTGGTGTGCCTCAGTAGCATACTTATCGCTCCTGCCCTGTGACACGGCAGCAGGAAGCGCGGTCGTTGTTAATCCGGGCCACGGCCGACCCGGCATGAAATTTTGTGATTTTGTATTTATCATGATGTTGGATAGGGTAGCTGCTTTTTGTTTAACCACTATCCAAACAACCTTCCTGGCATGGTAGGACCTCAAGAGACATAAGTCTCAGCCAGTATAGCTTGATTAGGTCATTGCGGTGTTCAAGCCCGACCACCACGTCAAGGTGGCAGCTTTCGGTCGGGTTTGATCCCCTGCCGACGGCAGGGGATCAAACCCCGGACCATGTGCATGGTCGGCGAGAATCCTAACCACTGACGCAGATAACGATAATTAATCGCAGTCTTTTCGTTCCAAAGTAAAGCAAGTCAGTGCTGGATCTGAGCTTTGAGGGCTGAAACAACGCTGACAAGCAATCCTAGTAGGTTCTGATCCACTTCTGAAGGTGCCTATAAAAAGAAAAGGGTGCTAGTCATGCTGAAAACCATTACTGAGTTCTAGTTCATGCGCCTGACCAGACCATTTCAGAACAGATTTGGAATTAACTCACTATGGAATGTTAGAGTTAGTTCAGAATTAGCCAGATTTAATTCAGCATTACGGTAAGCTTGGGGGGGCTGACTGTTTCACATCTGTTATTTTACTCCTGCCAAACCCAATTTATTGTCGTTACTAGCGTTAGAAAAGTTGAAAATATTTTGCGACGTCTTATAATTCACCTTATAACGCATATAGTCCTTACGCCAGTGCGCTTATTCTAAATTCAGATGAATGAAAACAGTAGTTCCGCAAAATTTGAAAGTTCCACAATTTTCCATGAAAAATATGTAGTATGTTTCAATATTAAATGACAATTTTACGTGGTGGTGTTACTAACTGAGGATCGTAACATTTGACTAAAAAAACTCGAAAGACAGTGTCAAAGTGCAGAAGTTTACATCTTTGACAAAGTTATCAACTAGGGTTCACATTCATGGATATATAACAAAGGGGATAAGCAAGTTATAGGAGAAACATCAGAGAATGCCTTTTTAAGTGTTGTTACTGTCTTCAGCTAATGTATTCAAAGGTCTCAAAACAGTGCTTCAATAGATCGTAAGACAAAGAGCTGCAAAATCAGAGAATACAAATGGAAAATAGTTTCCCACTGAGGTGCATAAATAGGAAACTGGATTCATAGAACTCCCTAACGGATATTTTATTTTAATAAAGTCTCACGTTGTTATGCGATGATGTTTACTGCTGATGTTTCGAGCACGATGGATCACTCATAATCATGACAAAGTACTCACACATCTCACTTCTTTTGTGGACATAGGTCATAATTGAATAAATAAAATTCACCATAAAGTTCAGCATGCCTGCGTGAATCAGAAAGGAAGATAAGGAGAATAACAGGTCTGTAAACGCCATAATGAAAAGGATCTGGAATTCTACATACGCAGAATGAAGCCGTCACTATGTGAGTCTGAATGGAACAATTTAATGCCTAAAACCAATAATGCTAGTAGAATGTGTAGAATTATAACAACACACAAGCCAAATTACCCCATATAACTAGCAGTAGATTTCAGAAATACCCCCTGCTTGTGAATTATTAAAACATTTAGCTCTAAAAATGTGTCCTATTGGAAATTGCTCAAACTCTGGGTTAACTAATTCATATGAACTTAAAAGGAAACTAAATGACGCGTCAAAAATGCCTGATGAAAAGATGTTTAGTTTTGATACAGCTAGTCTCTATACTAACCTACCAATTAATATGGCCTTAGAATCAGTTAAAAGAGGACTAACTGCTACTCCTGAACTTAATCACAGGAAAAAGCTACTCCTTGAGGAAATTATTTTAGGATATCAAATATGCCACATGTCTTCCATTCTTAAATTCCAGAGAAAAATATAGAGATAGAAAGGTATAGTAATGGGATCGCCAATATGCGTAATCTTAGAAGATTTATTAATGGATAGCTGGGAAAACATTGCTCTTAATACATATTATTCAACTTCAAAATGTGTAAGAGATATGCGTGTGGTACATCCAGTGTCAATGAACAGAACACATATATCTGGCTTCTTTACACACATGAACTCACTAGTAAAGGGAATACAATTCACTTTTGAGTTGAAAAATGAACAAGGAGAATTAGCTATGTTATATTATGAAATAAATGAATAAAAGGAGATAGACGCCAATGAATTCTAATAGATACTGAGATTTCGATTCATCCCATCCGCCATCTGAGACTGCAGGCTTAGTTGGGTGTCTAACAAACTGACCAATAGTACTAAGTAGCACGGAAAAAGATTTAAATGATGAAATGAAACAGAAGATGTGTTGATGTTAAATAACTATCCTATAAAATTAATGAGTACTATCAAAAATGATCAAAATAAAAATGTAAATAATGGTAACTATAATAATGATAACGTAAATAAGACAGAATATGAGACATCTACAGTTTGACCAAATAAGATGGGCACATCTGAGACCCTAAGTAGGATTCTTAATAAACCAAGAATTAGGGTGGCATTTAAACCTACAAACTTATGCAGACAGGACAAACTCCGTCGGTTAAAGTATCCAGTTGACCTAACCAGGCAAAATAATATAATTTACAAAATACCTTGCAGTGACTTTGGGTTGAATCAACTACATAGGCCAAACCAGTGTATCAGAGGTAGTCAGACTGTCAGAATATAACAATTCAGTTAGGTTTAGAATGACTTGCCCCGCGAAGATAAGTAATTAAAAAACCCAGGAATCACACTGCATGAATTGATACACAACCACACAGTAGCTGGGCAGAATTAAAATTCTGAAAGGTAAAGTAGATAGATAAAATTCCCTTGCTTCCGGAAGTCTGAGCACCTTCCTAGCTCTCTACGAGTGGGGTTTAATCACGACGTACTACTCAACCAGCTTATAGCGGACCACATTGGCATGCACATACAAATACACTTGCTTCTGTACAGCTGCATACACTGGTCGTACCACTCCTCCACTTGTAAAATGCATTCAACTGCACCTTCCAGTTTACCTGATGGAAGGAGGACGTGGGTTTACTCACATTCCACAGCAGAATATTTCGTGAAATCAATCGCTTCGAAAAATGCCTCAGCTTCGTACTGAATATCAGATCAGAACTCTCAAGGGAAGTGAGGGTGACTGAAATAGGCAGATCCCAAAATGCACGCGTTGATCCGTCATAGAACACACATCTGAGGACATAGACTCGATTACGGCCCAATTTTGTTTACCTATGACCGTTTATCTCTAGAATTTTTAACCTTAACCGTAGCTACTGTGTCTCTAGCAGGCATTTTTAAGCTTGGGGGTTATTCCATAGCTATCAACCTAACCGCTTTTAACAAACATACATGTTACCGTCTCATACCGCTCTCTTCCTCTCGGCTCGAACCAACCTCGTCTTTGCACTAACTCCGTTTTCCCTGTCTTATTCTTCTTTCCACTCCAAATATCCATTCATTTTCTCTTTAATAATTGTTCTTAATCCTTTTTCCTGCTTATCCGTTTGATTTCAGATTCACGTAATTACCGTTAATCATATGAGTCGTAATATTATCATTATATCCCTTCCGGCCAACCAGGACAACTAACGGAAGAAAGCACTAACCCAAGTAACAGCAGAGCCGCGGTCTTAGACTGTGCGTTACACGAACCAAAATTAAAAAACTCCACATGCTGTAAAAGCTGTGAATGAGGTAAATCCAAAGGTGAGTAAAAACCATCAGATCTCTACCGCCACACCCGAACTGATAGATGCTAGAAGACTTATTCCGGCGAGCTCCAAATTCAGTGAGGAGCGAAAGCTTCACAAAAGGAAACTTACGAAAAGTCTCCGCGAGGACCGTGAACAGTGGTGGGCAGCAAAAGCGAAGGAAATGAAAAAAGCATCGGCGATAGGCAACTCTTTAGACTCATCAGGGAAACAGGAGGGAGAAGGCAAATGACAAGTGAAACAATCTCTGAGGAGAATGGCACCATAATTAGCTCCCAGGATAAACGACTAGGACGTGGGAAAGAATGCTTTGAGGAGCAGTTTAACTGGCCTACAGCCACGCTCAACTTGCCGAACATCCAACACCTCCCTGAATGGGATATAGACACAGGTCCTCCGTCCCTAACTGAGGTTACTAAGGCTGTCACTAATCTGAAACAAGGCAAAGCAGCAAGATCTGATAGAATGACTCCAGAGGTATTTAAGTACGGTGGAGACAGTCTACTGTCTGCATTAATTGAGGTTCTAAGCAGCGCCTGGGAATCAGAAGAAGTCCCATCGGGTTGGTGTAAGTCATTGATTATTCCCATATACAAGAAGGGAGGTAAATATTCCTGTGATAATCACAGGGGGATTAGCTTGATTAATATTATATCTAAAGTTCTAGACTCAATAGTCATGCATAGACTAAGTGGTCCTCGAGAGGAACAAACACGAGAGAACTAGCCAGACTTCAGACCAGAAAGAGGGTGTGTTGATCATACCTTCACCCTTCGACAGATTCTGGAACATAGGCATACTCTTACAGGCATCCAACAACAATCACCTTTCTTGAACTAAAGACGAAATTCGATTTTGTCGGCCGAGAGGTACTGTGGCGATGTTTGGCTGTAAAGGGAATGTAAAGAAAATATATTGCACTGATCAAGGCACTCTACTCGTATTCATGCAGCTAGGTGAGGGCTTACGGCGAGTTGTCATATGAAGTGGTGACGAATAGGGGTGTCCGTCAAGGATGCCCATTATCCCCATTTCTATTCAACTTCATCATAGATGTACTAATGGACTTAACCCTAACTCACTTCAGCGACTCAGGGATTGACTTGCTACCAAGGTATAATTTCGTTGACTTAGAATATGCAGACGATATAGTCCTTCTAGGCGAGGACGCTGACAAAATGCAGAGTCTTCTAAACACCTTGAGTTGCAATCTACGAATGTTTGGCATGCGATTCACTCCCGCCAAACGCAAGATGATGTTACAGGACTAAACTATACTGACTCTTAGTTTAGAAATAGGGAGTGAAGTGGTAGAGCTCGTTGACCGCTTCACCACCATCAGCCAACGCCGACGGGTTGATCTCTGACGAAATCTCACCACGGATAGAGAGGGCTAGTTACGCATATGCCAGTCTACGCCGTCTCTGGCATAGACGTGATATCCGACTATCGACCAAAAGGCGAGCATACTGCTCATCAGTTCGCTCCGTCCTCCTTTATGGCCAGCTGTGAGACGTCGCCATTGAGAGTGGAAGACATGAAAAGCTTGGCTAGCTGTCTTTGATCATAGGTGCCTGCGTTCTATCTCCCGTGTGAAGTGGTATAATAAGGTGAGCAATATTGAGGTTGGCTGTCAAGTTCTGTGTAAGGAGGGGAAATCAATCGACGAGGCTGTGAAATTACATTGATTGAGATGGTTAGGACATGTGTTACGTATGCCTAGTCATCGCCTTCCTCGACCGACGTGGAATGTTAGCTGATATAGGGTCAGGCTGGAAAAGAACTACCACATGGTGGTCAAACCAAAACATGACACCAGTCAATGAAATCTACAACAGTTAGCCTAAGTCACGTGTGAAGGTGTAGACTTCCTGGTTGGGGTCCTCGGGACGGTTAAAACCAATGGCTGGAGACAATAGGTGATATGGCTCAAAATCGTTGTCAATGGCCAGTGCAGATGCATACACTCCTTGCGACATATAATACCCAAT